CCCCCCCCCTTCTCTTTCTTTAGCAAACGGGCTGTATCAGAGCACCAGCTATTGCATGACAAGGGCAAGTCAATCCAAGACTTACGAAGAAGAATATTCCTTCAAAATTTAATTGAAGGTGTCAACACTGCAGAAATCCGTGCAACTTCGGAGGTTTCACCTAACCCCAAGCCTGCTACCAACACGAAGAACTACCCTGTCCGATTTGGCAGTGAAGATGAGGGCAGATACCTAACTCAGGAGACAAACAAATCACAGACCTACAAGGAGCAGCCCCTGAAGGTATCGGGGAAGAAAAAGAAAGCAAAGCCTGGAAAACGTAAGGAACAAGAGAAGAAGAAGAGACGAGCCCGCTCAGCTTGGCTAAATTCTGGCATGTACGGAAGCGACGTGACCGAAAGCCCACTCTTGGACATCTCTGTTACTACACAGAACCACACTTTAAGGTAATTCTCCTATATCCTTTTGGGGGGCGTACCGTATATTTACTGAAATTGTTATCCTTCGGTGTGAGAGGCCAAGGCCTCACTCAAACCCGGAGTAACGGCACATCTTTATGCTCATAACCGGGCAGTGGCTTTTTTCAAGCAGTGCACAATCTCAAGGTGCTTTCTGGAGGTAAGTACCCTTTCCACTTTGCACTGGTGACAAAGGCTTTCTTTCCTACGACAAACAATTCAAACAAACCACTTATGGCCCAAGTGAGCCTTCTGAAGCTGAGCGAGCAGCCAGTAAAGTTATTTCTGCAAAAAGAAAGCACATCATAACCATTAAAATTTCCCTTCCTCTTTTAACCGTAGTGTCTCTCACGTCAGATCTCGGTCCCACACTTGGGCCTCAGCAGATTGAAAGCTTTGAGTTTTATTTAAGGCTCTGCATCTATAAAATGGCGAAGTTTTCTTTCCTCCCTCTCAACGCCTCCCCTTTTTGGCAACTTTCCTACCCTTACTTTACAGTTTTTCATTTTACTGTTTAACCTTAGGGGAGAACACGGAAAATTTCTCTCTTAGTAATATCTGCAAACAACGCAGACCAGCCTTTCGCCATAAAATTTTCCCTGCCATTAGGACTTTTTAATTCAGCTGCATCTTTTTGCCAGCTCGTGAAACAATTACGTTGCTGCTGAAAAATGTTGAGCATTGCTTTTGGAGAGAGACGTGCTTCCCTCATGTATGACAATGAAGGGTTTTTCAGGGCAGTGAGGAGCTGGAGACTTCAGCCTAGGTGCCCCAAGCCGCTCATCTGCTTGCAGTCATCTCAACTTGAGTGGAAGTCTGCGCACTTGCAGACAAAGCCAAGGAGTCCACGCCTCAGATCTCCTCAAATGTTTGCATTTGCAACAGCAAAACACCCACCCTTTTCTCTCCTCCGCCTCTTCGCTTTGGCAGAATAGAGACATAAGGAAGTGCCACTTGCTCACAGTAAATCCCTTCGAAAGAGATGCCAGCTGTGGGATTTACTAAAATCCAGTCTTGGGTTAAGCTTTACAGGCCACAGTTTGCAACGTGCTCCATCGCCTCAACTTCTGCTGGCATCTACAGGAGTTAGCGGCATTTGGGGCTAGGCATTCACTGTCCTGGGCCATAAACCAGTTAGCATGGCTATAGCAGGCAGTAGTGAAGTAAGAGAGGCTGGTTTGTCTCAGCTCTTAGGAAAGGCACGCTCCAGGGCTCCGGTCAGGAGAAGCCTGATGTTTCAACAGATGTTAAGGAACTGTGGTGGCCTATTCTTGGCGCATAGAAA